TTCGAGAAAGTTTAGGGGAGATCACTCCCGGTTTATTTAATGTTAATACACTAAAATAATCTCAAATACTATAATATATTGCCGTGAGATACTTTGTCTGAGAAATTTTGTCTGAGATCAATTGTCCATGATATCAATTGTCCATAGCATCATTTGTCCTGAATATTTTGTCCTGGTATCTTTTGTCCTTAGATCATTTATCCTTTTAATAATTATCATTAAAAAAGTTTTTAAAAACCCACGTTTTCTGATTGAACTAAAAAGTAGAAAATAAATGCTTTACATCACAATAATGCAAGCGATCACTCAACTATAAGCGATGAAAAACGTGGGGCGCCGAAGTAAAAGTTTTTTAAGATGTAAAACTTATATTACTATTGATTAGATGATACTATTGACTTTTATTAGGGAGCTTGTAGAGAGTCAACAGTATTAGAAGCTATAAGAAAATCACGGCGCCCCACGTTTTTCATCGCTGATAGTAGAGTGATCGCTTGCATTATTGTGATGTATAGCATTTATTTTCTAGTTTTTAGTTCAATCAGAAAACATTAGTTTTTAAAAACTTTTTTAATAATAATTATTTTCTACTTTTTAGTCTTTGTCTGTTTGTTTGCATTCAAATCTTGCTATCGATTTTATCTTCTCGCATTCAGTTTTTTTTTTGGGTAAACGAAGACAGCTCGTAAAAAACACGTGCGTTTTCCAATCGACGTTTCTTCTGTGTTGCCATCAACATTCTACTTCATGATCAGTCAGATTTGCATAGGTTTGTTCACAAACACCGCGTGACCACTACTCAGCCAATCGCGTGCTCGCTCTTTCAGTAAGCCACAAGAGGGAAAGTACCGAACCTTACTTTCATCAAATTACAATTACTAGGTTATGTCCCTTTTTTGTACAAATATATAGGGGTCTAAAATTATCAATAAAATTTTTCCATGGATCAATTTAGTAATCATAATAATTGAATATTGTATTCTCATTGGAAACAAAGCTTCCCTGAAAATTTCAGCGCGCTAGCTAACTGGGAAGTGCCCGAAATTTAGATCGCAAGATTTGATTGGTAAAACAGACGCGAAAGCAAGTTAAAGAAAACGTGGGAAAAAATAGCAATTTATAATTGGAAATGAGAACAACCGGTGGTTTTAGCCAATCCAGAAAATATTCTATTCATGTGATTTGACAATTCTCCTTAACAATCATCTTTTAAAACATTTTGTTCCGTAAAAACATTATTATCTTTAAAACATTCACATTTTTTCTGTGCAGCCATAAACAGTGTTTCTTGCAGATTTCTTTCTCCGGGGGTGGGGGTGGGGGTGGGGGGGGGGGGTAGGGGGGGGGGACAACATTTTCCTGGGGGGAGACGGACACTGGTAAAAGTATGTTTTCTGTATAATTCCATTTCGTTCGGGGAGGGGGGGAAGGGGTATACTTTCTTCAGGGGGCTCCGCTCCCCCAAAGATATGCCCAGAAGAAACTCTGGCCAAAAATGTTAAAAAATTTCAGAGTACTTGAGATAATAGAAAGTGTATCGAATAAAGTTTCACTGACGTCAGGGATGTACAAACACGTCAAGCCAACAATCGCCCTTGTCTCGTATCAAATGAACACAAGTCGGCTGGGAGGTGTTGAGTTAACAGTGCTGTCCAACTCACACACGGACCTTACGACGGAAAAGGTAGAGGCTATTTAAAGTAGATACCTCACCAGGTTTGTCCTGGGTGGATTCAATCAAATCTAATAAGTCAGTAAATTTTTAAAAAATAATTGAATATATAATCTTAACTTTTAGTGAAATATAAAAATAATAATAATTTGATTAAGCTTATTTAAGTGTAAGTAAATTAAAAACATAGACAAATTATCAAATACGCGCTAAATCAAGGTAAAACGTCAATTTTAAAAACAACAAAGCTTAAACACACAAAAATTAATATCGAGGTTAATATGAGAGAAAGATCATTTTAAAATCAAAATAATTTTGTTATATACACCGATTCTTATTTATTTTGGTTGCTTCCAAAAATATAAAAACATTGCAGGTATTCGAGTTTGAAAAATTAATCGTTGGGATTTTGTGTATTCTTGTCAATCGGTTAACTATTTATGTCACTAAATAATTTTTTGCTTGAAAAAATGCTGAAGTTATTTTCATTATTAATCCTAAGTAACAACAATACCCCAATATATTACAAAGTTTGATGTATTTAAACAAACATCTCTCATTAATTTTGTCATTATTTTTATCCAACAGGTAAACGGAAAGCTCGACTGCGACTCCATGACGCTGACTCCAGGCGTATCGTCCATACATATACCCGTAAAGTCTCTTGAAAGTATTTTCAGCACAGGAGAGCTCATCGAGCAAAACACAAGACTATCGTTTGTTATTCAGCTGTCTGACAAGCTATTCGCAGTTAGGTTTCATTATTTTTGTTTCAATTTACATACACTATTTTTCCTAACAATGATCATTAATGAAAATAAGCAAACAAAAAACAGCAGGTAATTAAAAGATCAGTTTTTTAAATAATATTTTGCACATTTAATTCATGTTCAATTCCAGGTTCAAGACCGCTCCAATTCTTTGATAGTGAACAGCCAGATCATATCAGTTCTAACACCAAAAAAAGAAGCGATAAAACTCCACGACAACGTCACAATAGGATTTACTCACTATAACACCGTAAGTAACTGTGACCGGCCCGACATCATATTTTAATTTATCTTTGAATTTTTAATTGTATAATGTCTGCAGCTTAGACGGCTCGGTGACTTTTTACAAGAAAACTTCGCCAAAGTCTTGTTAGTTTATATTGTGAACGATCTCTCATACTATAAAAGACGTGTTGATAAGGCACCCAGTGTCTAATATTGAGAAGAGAAACATTTCTATTAAAATAGATTTTTTCCTGATGTGAATGATTATCGAAAGGTAAAATTTGTTAAATTAATTATGTTTTGAATTTTCAATTTGTCTCTATTTTTCAGAAGTTGGTTTCTCCAGTCTGCGTTTTCTGGAAAAAGCATCATGGCGACGATTTTGGGCGTTGGTCGTCAGATGGCTGTAGCCTGGTGCAGACAACTGAACGGATGTCTGTCTGTACATGTAATCACGTGACCAGTTTTGCGTTACTCATGGTGCGAAACGTTAGGTTAATCACTAAATCTTGGACTAATTAGCGTGATGGTAATAGATAAAGCCATATAGTTTACTAAAACAATGAGTTTATATGAGTTCGCTGGACATTGGTTTATCATTCTGTAGTAGAATAAATCAGTGGAATAGAGTAAAATACAGTTAATAGTTTAAGTTCTATGTTTACTTAAAGTCTTTCAAACTATAACGGTTTACAATCTAGGCATTTTCTATTTCCATTTATTATAAAGAATCAACAACTAATTGTGATATTATATCAGACTAACAAGCTGATAAAGAAAGTATAAATAAATGTATAAACGTTTCAGGATGTGTATGGTCAGGAAAGTCTAGCATCGACCTACGCCTCTGATGATGAAGTTTTGTCATACATTTCGTACATCGGATGTGCCATCTCATTCGTAGCTTTGCTTATAACTGTCTTGATCTACACCATGTTTAGGTATAAACTACTTAGCTGTCAACGGTCCATAACATTTGCTAATAGTTGAACAATAATTTAGATATTTGTATGTAATATTTGACTTTTTTTTTATTTTTTTTTATTTTACCGTTATACTTCCTATTGACTTAGCTCTAATATCTGTCTAAACAATCGTTACTTTACCGTCATACTTCCTCATAACTTAGCTCTAATGCCTATCCAAACAATTGTTACTTTACCGCCATACTTCCTCATGACTTAGCTCTAATATATGTCTAACCCGTGTCTTTCTCTCCAGTCGTCTGAGAAGGGACGAGCCGTCTAAGATACTTTACAACATGTGTTGGGGGCTACTAGCGTTTAATCTATGTTTCCTGTTGGGCCTTGCAATAAATGATGACACGGATTCTGTTTGGTGTAAGGTATGGCTCAGCTGTTTTTCTGTTTGTTCTACATATAATTTAATCATATGCTTACTAGTGACATGGACTTATTGTTTTCATGCTATTTATTAAGAGAAAGAGGGAGAGTAAACAAAAACAAAACCTTAGTTCGATCGATTCAGTAGGTAGAAAGACAGATGAAATGGATGGAGAGATAAATAGATTGATGTAATGTATCGATGTGATGGATGGATGGATGGATTGAAGGATGGACGGACTGACGGATGGATGGAAGGACGGACGGATGAATGGACGAACACGGAGTGACAGGCAAAAATAGTGTGTTTTTTTTTTAAAAGTAGTAGGCTTTTAAAAAGTTTACTTGTAATTTTCTTTATTAAGGTTTTGGCTGCAAGCATGCACTATTCGCTGCTAGCTGCAATGTTCTGGATGGCTGTGAATGCCTATTACATGCACTTGTCGCTGATCCGTGTTTTTAACATATACATCGACAATTTTTATCTCAAATGCTCGCTCGCAGGATGGGGTAATATAAATAAATCTATTAAGGTTGCATTATAACAGTAAGGTGTAAAAATTTCAATAGTTGTTGTGCTCTTATATTAACGCTCATATGTTGCATTATTTGAAGTTAAAAAATTAAAAATATTTATACTCGTTACTTTAAAAAATTTGAAAGTATTCCTACTATACTATACATTCTTTGCCTTTTTTAGGATCACCATTTATATTTGTAGCTATAACTTTAGCTATAAACAAAACAGACAATTACGGTCTGATATCTAGTCATTTGTAAGTTTGTTTTTGTGTTACATGCAATTTAAGATATTCTTTAAGATGTTCTACTAACTGTTAGTGTTATTCTTCACATTTTACTTCTCAAGGGACATAACAATGTCAACTTTTAACGTATTCTATTTTACTTGTTAATTTAAGACATACATCGTTGACAATACGCTATATTTAATATAAAATAAAATTTATATTTGACATGAAACAGATGTTGGATAAAACATCCTGCCATATACTACGGTTTGATTGCGCCCGTGGCTTTTATTATATTCGTCAATTGCATCGTATTTCTAAAGATTTTACGACTGATAGCAAAGATGTCTACAACAAACTCAAGGTAACCTCCGAATACTACAAATAGAAAAACAAAGAAATAGTTTGTAGTTAGCTAAAACATTTTTAAACAACAGTTATCATTTGTTTTTTAATGCATACTGGCCGAAAGAAAGACCGATAAAGAAGAAATATTACACAACAAATATAATAATAACGTTCTAAATTATGGTTTTAGATTACTAAGAATTATTTTCTATATTATCTCGAGGAATTATTACACATATTCAATTCACAGCTGCTATTTGGGTTGATGGTCTTAAATATTTTTATCCTTGTTAAATTATACCAGATGGGTAAAATATTTTTTTTTAATGAAAAACATAATGTTTCTTGGGCGTAGCTATTATTTGCATATTTTAATGTGCTATTTAGATCGTTTACATGTGGTAAATGTTTCTATTTTTAGTGCAATATCAAATTTTCGAGCGACGGCGAGCCTGTTTATTCTGTTAGGTCTTACGTGGATATTTGCTTTCTGCGCTATTGGGAAATTTAGAATCGTATTCAATTACCTCTTCGCAATTTTCAACACATTTCAGGTAAAAGCTCTGCTTCGTTTTTTTGAAGTGTCGTTACCACAGTTGTAAATACCTAGCATGTTTATTAATGTATCATTACATCAACGTTTAAATACCTAACCTGTTTAAAGTTACAGCTAAATATCTATTATGTTTAAAAATGTCTTTACAACAATTTAAAATAATTCATACATACATTGATATTTCTATAAAATATAATAAAATGTCTATCGATAAATTATCTACCCCTGGTACGTTGTCTCAGAGTTCTTATATTTGCATCGAACGTTATTAAATCCACATAATGTAATGAATATTTTTATTCATCGCGTGTGATAATTCGAAAAGAAATTTTTTTTTTACATTGAAATAATGAATCCCATTTTATATTGACTAGAGGTAATCATTTCGTAATTGGCACCTGTCCACAGTGTATTATATTAGTTGACGTTCATCTTTTTAAGAGCATGAATCAAAGAGGATCCGTTAATTAGGCCATACAAAATATACAAACAATTTTTTTCTGACTGCACATTCTCTATCAGGGGCTGTTTATTTTCACATTTTATTGTATGCTGAAACAAGAAGTTGTAATATCTTTGAAGAAGCTATGCAACATCAAGTCTGATGACTCAAAGGCCCAAAAACCTAAAGGTAATGTGTTAAAAAATATTCTATAAAACGTATTGTAAATACTCAGAATGATATTGTAAATACTCAGAATGAGTCTTTAAGAGTCAGCTAAATTTAAATACTATGGCCTAACGTTTTTAGAGTGGATTATTTATGATTTATTATTATTAACAATAGAAATATTATTATGATTCTATTTATTAATATTTTTTTAAGCTGAAGAGACTCCTACAGTGTCGACCTATCAAGGTAATAATTTTTTTTAAAATCCACTGTCAAATAAAACACTAATAACGTAGCATTACTTGTAAGCAGCGATTTGTAGAGAAATCTTAAACATTTTGGACTAAAGTGCCCAATATTTTAAAAATTGAGTTTATATATATATTTTTTAATAGTCACATTTTTTAATGTAGAAAAGAAAATTATCGAATATATGTCAATGCGCCTATATTTTAATACTTATAATAAAAAGAGTGAGTAACTATACTATTTTCTGAGCGACACACGTTTTTTTTATAGTAATGCGTTAACATATATTTATAGACAGCGAAACTATTATTATAGATAAAAAGACATCTTATGTTCTTCTTTTTAAAGCATTTATAAAATATTGTTGTTTTAAATGATGTTTTTTTTCTTCTTATTTCTCATTTACACTATTACAATTTTTTACGCTATGGGATCTCATAGCTAAAAATACAGACACCAAACGTACGCATTATGCTAACAATTATCACTTTACATTGTAGTCTTTATTTTATTTAAAAAAAAATTAAAACTCTAATTGGCCGAATCGCAACTGTCTTGCATTTTCCATTTAACGTTAAATAAAAGTGTATCGCTTGTTTTAAATAATTGTAGCTTAAAAATCCTTTTTTGTGGTTTTTTGTGTGTGTCGGTTTTAACTACAGATCGAATGTGTTTAATATTTTTGTGTTTTCAATAGCTAAAGAATATATTAAAAAGCCTAAAACTCAAGGAAATTATAAATTGACAATGGCATAAATTACTTAAATTATTACAAAGTGTAGTTTTCAGTAAAACAATCACTGAGTTTCTAAACAACCAATTAATATTTGTGTTTTAATCAAACATAACTGTTCTTTATTTTTCTACGGCCACTAAGAAAACTATTTTTATCCGTTAAGTCAAAGTAAATGTCAGGTATCATTGTTCTTGAGTCTTAACAGGCGTATAATGTTTTCGAAGTCCTATTAAAATTATTGATTTATTTCTCAATATGAAAAACATTAACGCATTGAAAAGTTAACGCATTTTTCATTATCAATGTTACATGATGATGTGGTCGAAAGATTGAGCGAGCTTAAGATTACTGATCGTGCTAGTTGGTAAAAATGTTAAGTCGGGAAAAGTAAAGGAAGCTAAGAATTAAATACTTTTTGAGCGTATCTATGTTATTAAAGCTTAATATAGTGAATTATTAAAATTTACGTTTTTTAAATTAACTCAACATGTTTTGTTAGTCTAATTCTATTCATTTATATTTTTTATTTGAAGAAATTTCAAGAGTATCGACAGATCAAGGTAATTTTAAAACCACTATGAAAAAGTTTAAGTAAAATTGGTCGACTGACCACAGGTCTTCTGGGGAAAATCCCGGTGGTTCCTCACTTGAATTTCCCGGTGGGCCCCCGGGAACTATACGTCCTAAAAGTGTTTTGATTTTTAAAAACAATTTGTTGGTATTTCTCCATTTTACCATTCCCATTCCTTTAATCAAGGCGTAAAGTTCAATTTGAATGCACAATGAAAATTTCAATCTAAAAGTGTGAGCCAGTTTTTAAATTTCCCGGGCCCCTTGAACACAACCACTCCACACCTGCCTACATGTAATTTGTGAAACATTTAACTTCAGTTGAACTTGAGCTTTTTACCAAAATCTTACTGTGATTACTGATTTACTTTGTTAATTTCTTTAACATCGTCATCTTGCACTGAAAGACAAGAGTATTTTGTTTCTCAATGATAAATTATTGTTTCCCCTTTTTCACAACCGGAATGTGAAGGTGTGGACGAGGGATAGAAATTGAGTATCTTTAATCAAAATAAATGAGGGACGTTTATGTTCACATTCTTCCTGCTAATGGAGAGGTCGTAGAAACAGGCGAAATCTGCCACAAGTTTAAAAGTATACTCTTCTTTAAATTTTAACACAACACATAGGGCCTACTTTCCTTTTTTCTAATCGTCTATAATATTTATCTCTTATAGATTCAAGACAGCTAGAACCGAAATTAGTCAGAAAAAAATAGGCAAAATAATTGTGATAATCTTTTATAAACATGTGTTCATCACTATGAGTGTTGACTCGGTAGCAAATGCATCAAGGTAAAGACAATCTATAAACAATAAGTGTAGAAATATCTTGTGATGTAATTATCTGTAAGTCAAGTTTACCTAAATATTTATAGAAATTGAATTATTTCTAGCATTACATTTTTGTTTAAATAACACTTTTATTATCGCTTATAGAACCCATTTATAGCACACAGATGAGTTCCAATGCCGAGATTAAGAGCACTGTGTAAGCAGTTTATCATGTTTTTGAAAATAAAAGTATGTAATTGAAAAGTAACATTTTGCTTTATAAAACACTTAACTAAAAAGTAGAAAATGCAGCTCCATCATAGATAGTAAGAATTTAGCCGAGCCGCTGGTATTTTTTAGTTTTGTTTTTAAATGTTACCAACCGGGTACTACTACCTTGATCTGAATTTATTGCGATAGTTTACTAGAATCAAAATATTGTCACATCGTAACTCATTTCTAATAAAGAATCATTTTATTTCTTTATAGTTTACTGGCTTATTATAATATTTATTATGTATACTGTATGTATCCTACGAGGTAATAATGAAAAAGAGATATTTGCTGTCGTTTACTAACTTTATTTTTTACAATTGTTTTTTCAATCTTCTTTCGTTTTCAAACACCACTATTTTTTATTTTCTTTAAGTTATATTTTAAAAACTGAATAATCATTTTCAATATTATAATTGTTAGGATGATCGTTGTGTATGTTTTAGTAAAATTAATTAAATTATATTTAACATTATAAATTATAAATCATGTGTTAACATTTAATACCATTAATACGGGTATTAATTAATTTTCGTTTTTCTTACCAAAGTAAATTAAGGGTTTAATGTTAATTTTCAATTAGATCGATTCTTATAATAAAACTATAAAAATATTATAATATATATCACACTTTCTTTTAATGTTTATTACAAATTTTGAAATTGAAATAAACATATGTTATTAAAAATGTATTTATTGACTTTGTTTTTACAAAACTTTGTTACTTTTACATGGTATTAATAAAAACCTCGACTTGTTTTATCGCTGATTTGGCTACTACAAGTTAGAAAATATGCGAGGAATTCAGCCAGTCAATTGTATTGCTATAAAGGTTCCTTGACAAATGATCTCAGGACAAAATATCTAAGACAAAATATCTCATTTGTCCTGATATATTTTGTCCTGATATCTTTTGTCCTTGATATCATTTGTCTTGAGATCATTTGTCCTGAGATCAATTGTCCATGAGGTATTTTGTCTGAGATATTTTGTCTGAGATCATTTGTCCTGAGATCATTTGTCCTGTCACCGCTATAAATGTCACAAATACGGAATATCCTGCTGTTTAAAGGCAGAGACATATTATGGGGTGTTGCAACAGCAGAGAAGAAGGAAATAGAAAATAATGTACTTGAAAGTGTCATGGATGCATTAATCTATTTAGGAAAACTGTGATTGGAGTTTTGGGGCCATCGTAAATCACAAGGCTATTTTCTAAATCGTCATTTAGTGTTAAGAATAATGTGGAAAGTTCCTGAACCAAGTGCCTCAGACCACCGTAGAATGGCGGGAGGAAAAACTGCTTATGGAACGTACAATCGAACAATTTTTTAAAAAGTAAACTAAAATGTTATTATGGTAAACCTAAATCTATGCATTTTTAACAACAATGCTATACTCAAATTATCTTTGTTCTGCATGCTGTTTCGTAAAACAATACTAAAGAAGAAAAATCCGGCAAGGAGAAAAAAAATGGCAAACATAAACGACCTGGTGCTTATATTTAGCTTGCCGACTTTGGGGCTAACAGGAAAATACGCAACGAATAATTGCGCTTATAAAAGCTATCGTAACTTTTTTTTTTAAATAACAGAGCTTTACCAGATACACTATGTATACAAGTATAAAAAAACAAAGTAAATTTAAAGTTTTAATTTGAATTTTAAAAGTAATGATTAGAAAAATTAGAAAAAGTTATAGGGCAGCAAAATAAGCCCGTTTTCACATGTTGAAAAATTTATAAATAAAATGTATACAGTACCTGCAGATTTTTCTTTTGAAGAATCTCTCCCTTTGCTAAATGAATAGATAAAAGCGCAAAAATAAGCAAATCAATCATTTAGAATAAATCTTACTAACATAATCCAGCTAACATTTGAACTTAAGTAGAATTATTAAATAAACTATGTGTATTTACAAAAATAAATAATAAACTTGTTTTTCCTAATTTTGTTCTAAGATGCAAATTTGTACCTATTACAATGTAGCCTATAGTTTAACAAATACAGATTGCAACCTATATTTCCATCAATGACAAAAATACAGGCGGTGGCTGCGGTACAACACTTAGCGCTACTCACCTGAATATTCTGGATGCTGTTAACGCGTTCTATATGTATCGAGCATTGGCTCAAGTCTTCAATACAGAAATTCAATGTTTTTACCTCAAGAGCTCACTCGTGGGATGGGGTAACTTCATTTTCTCTACACAACCAGCTAACCCGTGTATTTTAAACATTTGACAACATGTTAACCTACTGTTTAAACAAATTGTAAATCATGGATTGACATATTTCTTCTAGACTTTTAAACAATTTTCCTATGTGTGAATCCAGGTCTTCCTCTGATTATAGTTACAGCTACATTTGTCATCAACGACACGGAAAACTATGGGTTCATCTATAACAATATGTAAA